TGAAAAAATAGAAAAAGCAAATAAATAAATATTTCTTTCAGAAATAACACGCATACATACTAATAATAAATACCATAATATTATATCAATAAAAACATTTAAAAAAAAACTGATAAACACACATATGGAACCCTCATATATATGCAAATTATACATAAATATGTTTATTATTATTATTATTATTTAACTCTTTCCCTCAGGTCTACTTATTTCAAGTTTTTTTGTTTGTTAGTTTTTCACCAAAACAGACACAATCGAATTTTTCCGGACTATTTTTGACCCTCTTTCACCTTTTCGCATATAGAAATCTTATGTTAATGCACTTGACTGTGAAATAGGTTACGGCACTGTGCTGCACTGGTTTACAAGCTATTGGTTAATCCTGGTTCCAGTAATGTTGGTTACAGTATCTATAGAGCTTTGTAAAAGGTTCACAAAGCAGTCAGTGGTGAAATTTGCTGTAAACACTGTTAAATGAACTGAAATGGATGTACAGCGTTTGACCCAACTTTTGCTTATATTACTCCTTCATCATTAGTTAACGGACATCTCTCTCTTTATCATCTGATTCTTACCACAGTTTGGCAGTGAGAGCGTAGACAGCGCTGTCCTCTTTCCTTCCTCCTCCACACACAGCAGGTCCTCGGCCTCCTCTCCTCTCCACTGCTTCAGCCACACGTTTTCACATATGCACTGCAAAGGATTGCCTGCCAGCAACCTGCAACACACAAAGAGCATGACAGCTCCCTGAAACATTCAATGCAAAAAATACTGACCAAGAACACAAATAACTCTATACGTGTAACCTGATAGGACTACATTACATATCATTACAGTGTACATCAATATATTTGCGACTCCGGTTATCGGACAATATTTCTGAGAATGGTAGCTAGTACCGTTTGGCTGATTCCCAAAATGTACCAACAACCATGCAAATGCAATCGGATATTTTTGAATAAATGCTACGTTTGAATGGATTTGAAATATATTGTTATGTAAAATATGTTATGTTTAAGTGTGCACGCATCGCTTGCTGCATTCCTTGTTTTTCTATTAGAAAAAACCAAAATAAATAAATCAAAAATAAGAGAGAAAAATACGAGACTCACAGATATGAAATGTTTAAATGACGAAACGCCCTCCACGATAGATTGGACAGATTGTTCTCTTTGAGATTCCTGTTAAAGGAGACAATGATCAGCACTGACCAAACTTATTATATATTTATAATATACATATCTAATATAAATCATATAAAATTAGTATATATTTATAGAATAAAACCTACTGATTTGATTTAACAGTCCTATTTTTTAGCAATGTAGTTAACATTTCAGAATTCATATTTATTTTTACATAACACTAAACTTTCTAAACAACCAAAACATGCTAAACTGAACCTCCAGCTTTTCCACAACCAAAGCACTCACAGATACTGTAGTTTCGGGTTGCTCTGAAAGGCCTGCCTCGAAATATATGCGAGGCTCGTGTTGGTTATGGTTCTGCAGGACAACACAAACACTGGTATCATAAATTTCTATCTCACATCATGAAGAACGTAAAAGCCGTTCCACATTTTATACTCACAAGTTTCTGAGATTGTGGTACGAGTCGAGATCTTTTTCATTGATGGATTTGAAGCTGCTTTGATTTGCAATGTATCTGTAAACAGCAACAAGAACAACAAGATCTGGCTAAAAGAGTCATGCAGGGTAGATTCCAAAAAAATTTACAATAATCTTTTAACTC